TTGATCTGCCGAATGAGATTCTCAATTTGAAGAAGACGGAGCAGTTCTCCGATTCTCAATCTGAAGAAGACGGAGCAGTTCTCCGAAGCAGTTCTTCGATTCTCAATCTGACGGAGCAGTTCTCCGGTCCAGCCAAAGCGGTTGCGTATCTCGATCGGAAATTCGTTCAGAGAGATAGTTGTTCGTGTGTGGAGTCGAGTTCTGCAGTTTTTGAAAGTGCGATCGAGCTCAAGTTGTCTATAAACAATGAGGTTTTCGATGACAACTCGTCGGCATACCTTGAGCTTCAGTCGGATATTCTCCAGGAGAGTTCCGATTTGGATTTCTCCGATTATAGTTCGTCGATGTGTGAAAAATTCTGCAGGTCAACCTATGCTCCGGAAGACTCATCATACCCTGAAGAACACAACATTTCTGATGAAATTTCATTAGAGTTGGAAGAAGGGGATGGAGAGAGTTGCCGGATGCTAAGAAGCAGAGAGAGAAGGCAAGTGTATCTACTCGATCATGAAGTGGCTGCGAAGAAGGGGGTCTCGTTTGCAGTGGAAAGTCTCAAATCTGAGGAAATTCCATGCATATCTGCTGTTGTTGTTGCTTTACTTGCTGAGCCAAAGCCGAGAATTAATTATGTGTTGAAGGCCGTTGGTGGAAGTCTAACAGCTATTCCTGGACTATCTGATATGATTGATGATACTGTTGAATCAATTGTCACGGATATGCTACAATGGCCTCACAGGATTGTTGTTCCAATTGGTGGCATTCCTGTAGATACAAGTGATTTGGAGCTTAAGCCTCAGGGGAAGCTCACAGTAACAATAATCAAGGCTAGTGACTTAAAGAACCAGGAAATGATTGGAAAATCTGATCCATATGTGGTTGTATTCATCCGTCCACTGTTCAAAGTTAAAACAAAGACAATTGATAACAACCTAAATCCTGTTTGGAATGAGATATTCGAATTGATTGCGGAAGACAAGGAGACGCAATCGCTTATCATTGAGGTCTTTGATAAAGATAATGTTGGGAAAGATGAACGTATGGGCATTGCTAAGTTACCTCTGATTGAGCTGGAAGCAGAGACAGAAAAAGAAATTGAATTGAGATTGCTGCCAAAACTGGATATGCTTAGGGTGATAAACAAGAAGGATAGAGGAACTGTTACAATTAAGGTGTTGTACCATGAATTTAACAAGGAAGAGCAGCAAGCTGCTCTGGAGGAAGAGAAGAGGATCCTAGAAGAAAGAAAGAAGCTGAAGGGTGCTGGTGCTTCTTGGATCCAGTTTGATGAGCCCAACCTTGTGATGGATCTTGAATCTCACCAGTTGGAAGCATTCACTAAGACCATTGATTTGATTAAGGGTGGCTTTCCTTCGGGCAAGTACTTGTTTGCTGGAGTTGTTGATGGAAGGACTCTGTTACATCATGCCATTCTTTGTGGCAATGCTGGAGCTGTCAAGGTACACACAAGAAGAGTGCCTCAAAGTCTTGCTAAGACATGGAGCTGAGTTCATGATGAAGAATGATGCTTCATGTTGATGACATACGAAGGTCCACCATCCTTGGTGGACTCAATGAGTACCCTATGTTTGCAGTCCTCACTACCTTTTGTGTTTAAGTTGGGCATGTAGAATCTACACGCTCCAACTTACGGGGGGGTGTTGGAGGATAAAAATGTAATATCCTCTTCCTTTTTTATTTTCTATTCTTTTTCCCTTATAACCAGTGTATCCATCTCTCTTAATGAATAATATCATCTCATCATCTTTCTTCTTCACTCCATCTCTGCTTCTCGTTCATCAATGTAATCCATATTCCGACAGTAAATGCTATGTGTTTTCCAATTATGTCCCTTACTTTTCTTACTTTTGGAAATAAAAGCAAAATTTATAAGGGTAAATTGGAAAAAAGTAGAATGATGATGATGTTCAATTTTGAAAAGAGGACAACATTTTGGGACAAACTAAAAAAGAAAGTAAGACAGATAAAATGGATGGATCGGAGGGAGTATCATTTATCAATCAAACATTCAGACATTAATTATGATTTTGATTCTCATTCTTAGTATGAAAACTCATGAACTAAACACACAATGTAATATTGTAGGATTAAATACATTATAAAGCCTATATACGCGTGTATACACAATAGACTTATCATCAAAGATAAGGAACATCTTCTAAAATGAATTTTTAAATTAATTTTCATTAGACTGTCAGCATCCCTTAACAGGGTTCAAGGTTCAATGCTATATGAGGATGATATATATTTTTAAAATTTCAGCAACGCGTCTTTCTTTTGCAAGATTTGTAATCATAAAATGTCCTTTTGATTTTTTATTTTTTTTTTTCAATCTAGCTTTTTAAATAATAATAATAATAATAATAATAATAATAATAATAATAATAATAATAATGAATATGTATTTTCAAATATTTACTAAATACTAATTATTTTATTTTAACTTTCACAAAAAGATTTCACATAATTTGAAGTTTTATTTTCATTATTTTGTTAATATTTAAAACTAATTTATATATCAATATATAGAAGAAAATAATTGTTTTTAAATTGGATTGGAATTGTAGAGGTGCTTTACTTCAAGTCCAAAGTCAATTTCAACTTCACATAATTTCCTAGAAACAAATTGGTAATTATTGGGAGACAGAAAGAGTTATAAAATTTGCTGGTCAGGACAAAAAAAAAAGTTCTACCCGACTACCCACTTTTATTATAAGCCCACATTCTTTTGACACTTTGACAATTAACAATTGTTAATAATTAACAAATTGTATAAAATTTCTGCATTAATATTGTTTTGAAATTTTGAATAAAAGTTTGCGAAGTGTTAAATATATATATATATATATATATATATATATATATATATATATATATATATATATATATATATATATATAGGTTTAAGTTCCAGTGCAGGTGAATGCTTCCCGTGCGGTTGTGCGGGTGATTAATGTGTGTGAGTTTTATACTTAATGTGCGTGAGTCTTGTGCTTAAGATGCGTGAGGTTTGTGCTTAATGTGCGTGAGTGTGTAGTGCTTAATGTGCGCGAGTTTTCTACTTAAGGTGCGTGAGTATTGTGCCTAAGGTGCGTGAGTTGTGTGCTTAATGTGCGTGAGTGTGTACTTAATGTGAGTTGTTGAAATTTTAAAGTGCATGGTTTTGTGCTTAATGTGTGTGACTTTTGTGCTTAAGGTGCGTGAGTCTTGTACTTAACATGCGTGAGTTTTGTGCTTAACGTGCGTGAGTTTGTGCTTAATGTGAGTAGTTGTTGAAACTTAAAAGGTTCCTGAGTTCTGTGCTTAATGTGCGTGAGACTTTTGCTTAACATGCCTGAGGCCTGTGCTTAACGTGCGTGGAGTTGTGTTCTTAAGGTGTTTTGTTTGTGTGTTTAATGTGCGTGTGTTTGTACTTTAAGTGCGTCAGATTAATGCTTAACGTGCGTCCACCCGCACAACCACACGGGAAGCCTCACCTGCACCTAATCCCTTCCACTGGAACCGCTTATCAAGCCACTCCCCGCAACCTGCCACTGAAACCGCTTCTCGAGCTAAAGTGTGGGCCGCGCGATTCGCAGATCGCCTTACAAAACCAAAGCTAACCCTGAAAAAAAAAAAAGAAATATTAAAAAGAGAACTAGCAAAACTATAAAAAACAGAAGCTAAAAGGTATAAGAATGTTTATTTTGGAGCAATAGAATTTACACAATAAAGCTAACTAATGTTATCACTTAATACCAGGACTATGTGGTCTAATGGTTATCGGGTTGGACTTTCATTTGGAATATTATAAGTTTGAGCCTCAGTGGAGGAGTATATGAACAGATATTACAATGTAATAGAGCCTTGTAACTTACAAAAAAAAATGTTATCACTTAATAACGTTCATTATTTAAACAATTCAAATGATTTGTATTCAAGAAAAATACAATTTTAGTCCTTAGCATATATCATATATGCATGCACTTCAATTCCCAACAACGTTCCATTCTTTGAACAAAGAACATATGTATTCAGAAAAATATAATTTTAGTCCATAATAAGTTATTGATGAATTGTTATTTTGGTTCTTAATAATTATCTTTAAATATTTAATTTTGAGATGAAAATAATATCATTTGATTATGTATTTGGCATTAAAGGTCAATTTTCTACTAAAGTATTCTGCTAACCAATTTTCTACTAAATTAATCTTTGTTAAAGTTAATATGAACATTAGAACAATGGTAGAAGTCATAATGTTCCTCGTATTGAATCAAAGTCTATATGTTGGAAAAATAGCATAAAATGGCATGAAAATGGGACTATTTTGTGGTACAAATATTAGTGGGGTCCACTTGATTTGGGTGAGGTCAAAGTGGATTCGGATTCTTCGTAGTGAAACGAAGAGATTGATATATTGTACGCTCAAAACAGATAATAAGTGAATGAGAAATTGATTATCAAAGTAAACATATTTAATATAGAGACTTTCTTTTGCGCAGCACCTTTGAGAGGTAGCAATTAAAACCAGCTCTCAAAACTTACTCTTGTTCTTCCTCCTTCTAAATCCTTTCGTGTGTTCCTTTTTACCCTTTCGTTTTGTAGGTGATGCGTTGATAGTCTATTTAATCTCAAGAGTTAAAACTTACATAGGGATTGAACTTTTTTCAAAAATTAAAATGAAGTCTCGAATTCAAGTTTAGTTCACGATATATGGAAAGAAATGTGTGGTATAATGATATGATATGCAATTGCCATGATCTAGCCGATTCTTCTAGCTAGTATAATTTAATTATTTAGAAATGGAGACATTGTTGTATTGATAGAGGATGACTACAACATATAATACTCCTTACATTACAAATTGATTCTAAAATGAAAATTAGATTATTTGACATGCCCAATCTTACATAATAAAACCACACACACAAATCAAGTCTTACATTTGAAGTAACATGAATAGTAATTAAGAAAGCACACATAAGCATTACACATATAAATCAAGCCTGCATTTGAACAACCACATGCTCATTGGACTCTACAGAGGATGCTCCATTGCTTGTTGCAGAAGATGAAACTGTTGCTAGCTGCTTGTTGCTCAATCCATCTACGCCATTCATCAATGCATAATGGTTTACTAGGACCAATGCTTGGAAGTTTAGGGTCCGTTTACTAACAGAAAACTGTTCTCTGTTTTCATTTTTTAATTTTTCAGTTTTCATCCTCTGTTTTCAATTCTCTGTTTTCTGTTTAGAAAACTTGTTTACTAATATAAAATTGTTCTCTGTTTTCTGTTTTCTAATTTTTTAGTTTTCACCTAAAATTTAGTTTATTGAGTTCAATCAAAATTTAAAACATTATATAGAGTTTAATTCTTAATTTTGATAATGTAAATAATGTCTAACTTTAAAGTGTAAGCAAATAAATTATGTTTAAATAAGTAAGGTAAGTAGAAAAGATAGAAGATAGTGATAAGTAAAATAAGATGATAATGAATGTAATCATAGTAATGTGGTTATAGTGACATATAACTAAATAGATGATAGATGATTCTGTTTTCTATTTTGAAAACAGTTTTTAAGTGTGTTTTAGTTTTCCGGAAATTTTCAGAAATTATTTTCAGTTTTGAAAATGGAAATTGTGTTAGTAAACATGTTTTCTGTTTTCTATTTTCCAGTTTTCGGAAATTCCTAGAAATTTCCAGTTAGTAAACGGCCCCTTACCCTCTTCAAAAAGTTTTAGAATCTCTTCTGTTTCCCCGAAAATGATAGCGGCATCTCGAACACTTTCTAGTCTTTCCTCAATTGAACTGCTTATGCACTTAGTATATATCAGATGCGGCAAATTAGTAAAACAAGCCGCCAATATGTCTGCAATCATGCAGATTAACTTCCTAAACAACTCTTCAGCTTGGAACTCACCATCTTCATAGTATAGCAGAATGGTTCGAGTAATGCTGTACATTGAATTTGCAGCGAAAACATGTACAGGCCAATAGAGTGGATTTTCCACTATAATTCTGTTCTCTAAAAAGTTCATAACAATCCTTTCAGATACAATAGCAAGATTTTGAATAATATTCTTAGCAGAACTTATTTCTCCAGCTTGTCTGTCAAGATCCATGAATAACCATTTCTACGAAGCTCAACTCCCACCCACACAACATCTGCTGCATGTTTAATACTTTTCAGCCCACATTTCTCATCCATGGCATCTATGAGGCTTGCATAGCGGAGGCCTGCATTAACACTGCTTACTAACCAATCAATATGCTCACTTGCAATGTTTGGAATTGCAATGGCAATGCTTGTTAGTGTCACCACTGGAAGTTTCCAACAATTAGGAAGTTCACCAGACAGTAGATTTGGAACTCGTTTGCTATCAAATGCTACCACACCACTAAAAGAGAAGCTTTGTTTGAGATGATTCAGTAGATTTTGTGGTCGTTGCTTGTTACCCTTCTCAACAAGTTTATCCATCCTATTAATAATCTTTCTCAATAATCTTTTTGGAAATTTTTTTTCTCCTTCAAGCAGTATTACAAAGCAATTGAAATCTACCACCTCCTGTTCCCTCTTATATATCATTTGAAACTTTCTTTTTGTGGGAGAATTTACCTTCACAATGATTAATTAATTTGCCTAAAGGATTAGCTAAAAGTACTAATGGAAGCATGAAGTAAAAAGAGAGAATATAACACCACTTGGACCACATGACAGTTATGATCTGAAGTTGCATGCAATAATTAAAAACCAAACCTTCTAGGTCATAGAAAATTTTTCTAATATCTCTCGACTCCCTCATAGACCCTACAACTATTGTACTCTGTCTCCATTCGATCAATTTTTCAGTCCAATAGGACTCAACTACTGCGACTTCTTCTCTACTGATTTTGATCCCATTATCCTCGTACTTGTAACCCAGGGTTCTAATCAAGAAAATCGTCATTATGATGGGAAGGGAATATATGGCAACAAATTGACCAGATAAAATGCCCCTCACCGAGTCCTTATAATCAGATTCCTTATAACAATTCTGGTATTCAGAGCGAACTCCAAGTCCTAGAATAAAAATGAGGAAAGAACATAAGCAGATGATACGGGTAGAAACGAATGTGGCCAACCTTTTCATAAGAAATCGGGGGCTACCAGAGGCTGCCATTACCCAATACTTTGTAATGCTCAATCTCAGCTCTTCAACTGTAGGGCGGCCTTGTTTCTCATCTGAAGCTGCAGCTAGCTTTTGATAAATTGATTCTGAGTGTTTCTTAATTGCTGGAACTGCTAGAGCCGAACACACAGTTGTTATGAACATGCAGAACAACAATATAATTTGGAAGATGATTTGCATAGATAATGAGGAATCAAGCACATGGGTCTGGAGTTGGATGCATAAATCAACAATGACGGTGGCTACCAATATGGTCAAAGCGGTGAGATTGGTTAGAATATATGTGTCATTCATAGAGCCCAGTGAGATGAAAGAATTACCCATGGCCAAAGTTAAGAAAATCGTGCTACTGCATTTTGACACGTTATCCCAGGGAGACATGGGAGTTGTGAGGTCGCCGGTGAGCTTGGTAGCCACTGCTAATAGTGTCAGCCAAGTTGCATTCAGACTGAAGAATTTGGTGAGTAGATTGCACACCATTGCAATGGAGCAGAGCCCAGAAGCCAGTGCAACATACCAGCCTATAATTGGCACCGCGGAATCATTCTTCTTGTCCATTATTGTTTCAAGATATATGGAACAACTCACAGACATTTTGATTATACTTGCACCTTCTCTATATCTTCTCGCTTCCTTTCGATCTGTAGGTAGTTAAGCTGCCATAGCTGGAATATATATGAAGCTAATAAATAGTCGCACAAACAGTGCATTGCATGCATTGATTGGTACGGTGCATGTATTTTCGACCAACCTTCTCAACAATTCACTACTCAACTACTCAAAGTCTTGATGTAGGTCCACGTACATTTGTCTTCTCATGCGTGTTACTAACGTGTTTGTTTATGAGTAATGCTACACATACTCCCACATTCTATCACCAAAGACAAATTCAAAAAATTTTCATAGACTCGGGGGAAATCGAACCATTAAAACGAAAGAGAGAGTTTAAAAAAAAAAATGAAACACTATTGCTCTAACATTTCTGGGTTCAAACATATCTAGTCTAGCTCATCTCTTGTTTACATTTATATGTTTTCTTGTAGTTATACTAAAACATGTATTATATATTTACAAAAGCTATATATGGGGTGGAGTGAAGTGAAGGTAGGGGGCAGCTGCCCCCATTGTAGCTCCGCCCCTAAATATCATCATTTGATTAATTCAAAAAAAATATGGGCTACAATTTTTATTACTCTAATAAAATCCAGACACGTAGCGGGAGACTCCCTTGGACTGCATATATCATTTTCCTTTGTTTATAAAACCGTGACATATTTAATCTTGAGGAATATTATATGTAATTAATTAATTGTGTACTTCATAATTTTATTTTAATTTTATTATTATATATTTTTTAGTACTATATTATATATTTTTATAATTGTTAAATTGTGTATTATATTTTGTACATTTTTAAAGTTAAAATGTATACTTTATAAATTAAAAATTTTACACTTTTAGAAGTTAAAACAAATACAAGCATACATGATAAAATATTATAACTATTACATTTAGGATCCTGCAATTTAGTGTCATGATTTTCTCTGAGAATTCATAGTATCAATTGTTCTTGTAGAAAAGTGGTTAGTCCCTAAATTATAAAAAGTTTTAATTACACATATCAACTCCTCATTATAATTTCAAGTAGCGGCTGATAAACTCAATGAAAGAAATATACAATTGCCGACTTCTCTGTGAAAAGAAAACCTTTTTTTTTTTTACTAGTTTATTTGAATTTAAATACTTTTAGGGGGTTTCCTTAAAAAAGAAAAAAAAAACTGTTTTCACTTTAAATTAATATTTTTGGAATTGATAAAAAAATCATTTGTAGGAATTACTTAAAACTAATCATTAATCTACTCAATTGCATCAAATTGAGGAGTTACAATATATAATCCAAACTTTTTATAATTTAATGGTTTAATTACTTTTTTTCGTCTATAGTTTAATTCAAGGGACAATTTGACCTCTTTGTAAAACAAAAATGCATTATTATTTACATTCATTTTTTAAATTCATATTCAACTTATCCTTACATTCTAAAGAATGTAAATAAGTTACTTGCAATTGGAATAAATAAACTTATATAACAAAACAATTGCAAAAACCGGGGAACTATTCAACAGCGTAGTGTTCAAGCAGGGGTGCAGTCTCCCCCTCGTTTTGTTTTTACTTTGGGTGTCCCCCTCCCCCTCCCCACCCCCCGAAAAAAAAAAAAAAACTCAATTTCAACTTCACATAATTTCTTAGAAACCAACTTGGTAATTATTGGGAGACAGAAAGCAAAAGGACTGTGGAAAAAAATCAAATTTGCAGGTTAGGACAAAAAAAAGTTGTATCCACTTTTATGAGGCTACATTCTTTTGACACTTTTGACAATTAGCAATTGTTAATAATTAACAAATTCTATAAAATTTCTACATAAATACTATTTTTGAAATTGTGAATAAAAGTTTCCGATATATATATATATATATATATATATATATATATATATATATATATATATATATATATATATATATATATATATATAATAAAAATCATATAGGAACTCAGTGTTAGGTAGGAACATGAGAACCAATCTGGGCCATTTATTTGAATCCATCTACGGTGCATATTTAAATTTTTTTGTAGTTATGTATTTAGCGTTGTAATTAAATCTTTGGGCATGTAGGGGGTAGTTTGGTCACTTCAATCAAGCGTGCTGGAGTAGAATACCGTAGGTCGTAGCTTTTGAGTCCTTCCAATAGTCTTCATCATCGATCGAAATTCCCGTTGAGATGGCTGGCACCGTTGCTCGGAACCCTAAGCGCCCACGGCCGGCGACCTCGTCGGCCGCTGCTCCAGGTCGGTTTTCGGCTTTTTCAATTTTTTATTTTTAAATAGATTTCGGATTCTTATGCGTACAATGTGTTGTTTTTTATTTGGCTGTATTATATTTGGGCTATATGATTCAAAGGAACTGGTGATATTTTTATCTCGTGTGCCATGGGAGAAAGTAGATGTCAGCTTCCATACAAGCAGAATAAAATTCGCTGCTCATAGTATTATCCAGGTCTGTGTGTTGCTTTTTTGCCCTTGATACTCTTCAACTATAGCAATTTTCTTAATGGAATGGAAACTGCAAACGAAAAGTACAATTTCATATTTTCCAGCAAAATAAATTGCAGGTCAAAGTCCAGAGTGTACATTCAGAAGGCGCAAACGTTATACAACATATGACTGATCACTTTTTTCTATAGAACACCGATTTTTTTAGTAAGCTACGATGTGCATCAGCAGCCTCACCACTATTTATTAACAGCCTGTTGTCTTCAAGGCTTACCGCTTACCTGATGCCATATGCTGATAATCAACGTGTATCAAGGGCTGCAGGTTGAATGAATGGTCAGTTCTCAATTCTCATGAGGCTATCATTTAGTAAGCTACAAAGGGAGCAGCTTATGTGAGATCTAATTTATTGTTAATGGTCACGACTTTTTTAATGAAAAGTTCATGATGGCACACACGGTTGGTCTCAGGTGCTTTCCCAATTTTATGTTTTTTGGCCGGTACTTAAGAGGCTGTTTATGGAGTATTTCGGTGATTTTGTTGAATCGAGTGGTTTGTATGCTGTGGCACACTCTGTTATCTGTTATTTGTAGGTGTTCGAATAGACTAATAGCGTTTGAGGAATAAAATGTAGTGTAGGAGCTCCGGATGGCACACAGTGGTGGGGTTAGGTGCTCAGTGGCAGTGCATGGGTTTGGTGCGTCACGCATGTTTTCCCGTCGTCTGTTCTTTGGGTGCCTGTGCACTTCAGCATCGTAGGGGGTGCCGTTGTGGGCAAAATGGCATGAACTCATTCCACCGGGCACATTCTATTTATTACATGTGTACACTGGCCAGTACAACCTATTTTTACGAAAATCAACTTCTAAAGCAGTTCGGATTTATTGAATTTAGGTCGGCATGTATATGATTCTGTTTAAACAGGTTTTTAGACAATTATCCATACATAAATTGACTAATAAAGAATGAAAATATAACTATAGGTGAAAAGTTTATGATGGCACACACTGTTGGTCTCAGGTGCTTTCCCAATTTTCTATTTTTTTGGCTGGTACTTAAGAGGTTGTTTATGGAGTATTTCGGTGATTTTGTTGAATCGAGTGGTTTGTATGATGTGGCACACTCTGTTATTTGCAGGTGCTCGAATGGACTAATAGCGTTTGAGGAATAAAATGTAGTGTAGGAGCTCCGGATGGCACACAGTGGTAGGGTTAGGTTCTCAGTGGCAGTGCATGGGTTTGGTGCGTCAGGCATGTTTTCCCGTCGTCTGTTCTTTGGGTGCTTGTGCACTACAGCATCGTAGGGGGTGCTGTTGTGGGCAAAATGGCATGAACTCATTCCGTCGGGCACACTCTATTTATTACATGTGCACACTGGCCAGTACAACCTATTTTTTCCAAAATCAACTTCCAAATCAGTTCTGATTTATTGAATTTAGGCCGGCATGTATATGACTCTGTTTAAATAGGTTTTTAGACAATTATCCATACACAAATGCACTAATAAAGAATGAAAATATAACTGTAGGTGAAAAGTTCATGATGGCACACACTGTTGGTCTTAGGTGCTTTCCCAATTTTCTATTTTTTGGCAGTTACTTAAGAGGTTGTTTATGGAGTATTTCGGTGATTTTGTTACTAGAGTGGTTTGTATGCGGTGGCACACTCTGTTATTTGCAGTTGCTCGAATATACTAATAGCGTTTGATGATTAAAATGTAGTGTCGGAGCTCTGGATGGCACACAGTGTTGGGGTTAGGTGTTCAGTGGCAGTGCATGGGTTTAGTGCGGCACGCATGTTTTCCCGTCGTCTGTTCTTTGGGTGCCAGTGCACTTCAGCATCGTAGGGGGTGCCGTTATGGGCAAAATGTCGTGAACTCATTCCGCCTGGCACACTCTATTTATTACATGTGCACACTGGCCAGTATAACCTATTTTTTCAAAAATCAACTTCCAAAGCAGTTTTGATTTAGTAAATTTAGGCCGGCATGTATATGACTCTGTTTAAAAAATTATCCATACACAAATTCACTAATAAAGAATGAAAATATAACAGTAGGTGAAAAGTTCATGATGACACACATTGTTGGTCTCAGGTGCTTTCCCAATTTTCTGTTTTTTGGCCGGTACTTAAGTGGCTGTTTATGGAGTATTTCGGTGATTTTGTTGGATCGAGTGGTTTGTATGCTGTGGCACACTCTGTTATTTGCAGTTGCTCGAATAGACTTGTAGCGTTTGAGGATTAAAATATAGTGTGGATGGCACACAGTGTTGGGGTTAGGCGCTCAATGGCAGTGCATGGGTTGGGTGCATCACGCATGTTTTTCCGTCGTATGTTCTTTGGGTGCCTGTGCACTTCAGCGTCGTAGGGGGTGCCGTTGTGGGAAAAATGGCGTGAACTCATTCCGCCGGGCACACTATATTTATTACATATGCACTCTGGCCAGTACAACCTATTTTTACCAAAATCAACTTCCAAAGCAGTTCTGATTTATTGAATTTAGGCCGACATGTATATGACTCTGTTTAAACAGGTTTTAAGACAATTATCCATACACAAATTGACTAATAAAG